TGCGCTTTGTTTTTTGGCTCATTTTCATACAAACATCTACAAAGAAGGGCTTGGCGTGGCCAAAGAGTGTTCGGAATGCTTTTATTGTCTTCATTACCTCCCAGCAGCTGTCTGATGCCCTATGCATATCGTTAAAACACATTAGCTGGCTTGGTATGTGGAGGTGTGTGAATATGTATTTGAAAAGGCTTACATATACAATTACATACTCGTAAACAGTGTATATATGTCTGTTATGTATATTAATGAACTACATGTGTTTATGCCTCGTTCACTTGTCCATCTCTTTTCTTGAAGTCTTTGCCATGAGTGTGTGTTCTTAGAATTTTTGTTCCTGTAAGACTGCCCGACGTTATGTAGTCATTGCGTGCTTTGGATTTTGATTATTGCAATCCTTGGATAAGAGATATGTTTACGGACTAAATGCCTTGTAGGATAAGTTTGGATGACAAATTTTCTTAAATAATTAAATATGTTTTACATATAAAGAAATCAAATAAAATGGAATAAAATCAAAAACTAATTGAATAAATCATAAGAAAATAAACTAAAAAAGAAAATAAAATAAGAGCAATAAGTACAAAATAAAATAAAAAATAATATAATATAAAATAAAATATAATATAATAAAATAATAATAAATAAAATAAAAATAAATAAAATAAAACAAGATTAAAAAAAATTTAAATAAAATAAAATTAAAAAAATTCATTAAATATAATATAATAAATTAAAATAAAATTAAATTATATAAAACAAAATAAAATAAAAAAATAAAATAAAAGGAAAATAAAGAAAATAAAAGAAATAAAAACAAAATAAAATACAAAATAATATAGAAGAAAATATAATAAAAATAATAAAATAATGTTAAATTAAACAAAAAAAAAAAAAAAAACAAAATAAAATAAAATAAAAATAAAATAAAATAAAAATATAAAATTAATTAAAGCAGAAAAATAATATAAAAAATATATAATAAAATTAATAAAACTATATAAAATAAAATGTAATAATATACAATACAAAAAATAAAATAAAACAAATAAGATAAAAAAAAAATAAAAAAAAATTAAGCAAAATGAAATAAAATAAAATGAAATGAAATGAAATAAAATTAAATCAGGTAAAATAAAATAAATGAAAAAAAATAAAAAAAAAATAAAAAAAACAATAAAATAAGAACAAAAAAAATACAATAAAATATGTAAATATAAAATAAAATAATAGAAAATAAATCGAAATAAATAAAATAAATTGAAATAAATTAAAGTAATTTAAATTAAATTAGTCTAACTTAATTAAATTAAACAACAAAAAATTATATAAATTAAAATTTATATAAAAAAAATAAATAAAATAAAAATACAAATTAAAAAATAAAATAAGATATGTAATAAATTAAAATGATGTAAAAAATATGAAAAAATAAAGTAAAACAATTATTGGCGGTAACTTGGAATAAGAAAAGACAATTCTTTGAAATTAATTTTATAATATTTTTTTTTGCATATGTGTTTGTCCAGGGCTTGAAGTCTGGACTCTTCACATGATAGCATAGTTATTTAATATTCTCGAAAGTGAAGCAGGAAGTTAATCGATTGATTTATCGTAGGAACTAAGGTTTTATTAATTTTTTTCCCTTTGTGATAATGTGCGACACATTAGCCATATATGTACAAAGCGGAAGGCTCTTAGTATTTAAGTAGATTTATTGACTCTACAATTTTTTCATAAAATTTCATATCCTAAGCGTAGCATTTTATGACCCACAAGATTTTGTCTAAAATTTGCAAGTTTTATTTGCTCAGCCTTTATGTATTTAATCAATAAAAATGTCAAATTTTTTGTAAATAATTGATTTTAAATTGAAAGGACTTAGCTCGATTTCCCATTGAGCATGTAATTTTAACAATTTCGAAATACAAAAAATAGTATCTGTATATGTACTTGTATTGCATAAATATGTGGGTTGTATTGTATAGGCACATCCTGCGATCCCATACCAAGTCTAATTGAAGGCTATGGAAATGGAAATTGAATGAAGTTAGATTTTTTTTTTGCATATGTAAGCCTAAGCAAGTTTAAAAGAAAACCAAAAACAAAAAAATGGAAACAACCCTTTCAGTAGTCGAAAAACAATAGCATGTACGACAATTGCCCAGCACATTTGTAAGAACGCAGTGCAATTTGTAAAACAACAAACACATATATACATATCATATATGCGTACATATTTTGCTACTCTTGGAGTCCTGTGCGTATGGAATTTGCAACAACCACTTTTATTATTGTTGGTACTCTTTCTGTAGTGTTTTATTAAAAGACAGACAGATTTTACAAGGTTTCCTATTCAAGGCTATGCGTGCCTGAGTACGCTGGCGGGATGTTTTCAGGAATTCAATTGTTTTTAATATGCAGTAAAGTAAAGGACTTAGGGAGAAAAATTGTCAATTTGTCATATTAATTGAATTGCATTTGCGCTGCTGATATTTACTTGGATAATTCTGTTAGATTATTTGGGTAACTTCATGTTCAAAATTTTAATTCTGTCTTAAATTTTAAAGCGCAAACATCTCAAAGTGAAATTGTCCGTAATTAATTTTTATATATTTTAAGTAAAAATTAATGAACTGATTTTCCGTCAAAGAGGTAAGATAGGCAATTACTAGCGAACCCGTTGTGACACGGCTATCAAATAAGTTATACCGAAAAAAATACAACGCTTCGGGGAGGGAGGTTCTTGGCATGTACCATCATCCTTAGTGAAATGAAGGTGGTGAAGCGTTTCTTAAAAATGCCATTGCCGTGTGGTTAACATTGCCAGTATTAGAGTTCTGCTTCGAGCAACATGCAAAATTATAGAAAAATAAATTTTCTAACTAAATTCGCCCTTCGGAAATTAATGTCAAGCCATACGAATCTACTTCTGTCATGAAATAAATGCTCCTCATAAAAATCTAACTGGGAAAACATCAAGACACACATCACAAATAGAAATAGGAGCTCGGCTGAAAATCACTCCAGCAGTTACAAAGTACCATTCGAGTAATGGGGGTTTTAAATAAATATCGACAACGGATTTCCTACCACCACCAGTAGAAGAATTTTTCGTAGCCAAATTATATTTATATTTGAATTTTGAGGGGAGGTTGATGGGCAGTTGGAACAGCGGTCTCACTAGGTCAGCCAATTTGTAGAAGCAGTGCATATATATATCAGCATTGAAGCTATTCGATTATTGCATTGTTCGACCGCAGTAACACTTATGACCGGGTTAACACTGAAAGGTTAAAATTTATAAAGAAGGAGATGCGTATAAAAATGCTAATCACCGACTTAAACTCATGCCATTGATACAGGCAAACTTAGCAGGCTCAAGCTAATAAAGTTCAACGAATCAGCGACCCTGCGACTACTAAAGGCAGTGATTACAGCCCCTGGCCAGGCGAGAACGCCAAAAGCTTTCCAAGTATACTCTGTAACTATGTCAGGAACAAAAACTTGAACGTACTCACGCGGGACTAGTGGGTATTTCACGTATACATCTAAGTCAAAAGAGAAAGGTCAGAGCTGTATGCACCACATTAACAGGAAAGTGTTGGAATTTCGATACCCGGAGTACGGCAAGGACACGTGTCAACAGGCAGAGCTGTAGTAATAGTGAGAAAGAAACCAAATTCATATATGTTATATAACTTCAGCACTGTGGACATGCTGATAGTAACCATAAACTAGGGAAAAGTAGTGTATCAAACCAAATGAACCCACTATTTGGGACAGTGATGACATTAACGACAAAGAAGGGTCTCTTTTTTATCGCTAATTGTGAAATAATCTCGAAATTTCAAAAAAACAAAATTATGGTAAGCCTTTATATGTGTATGGAACCAAATTGAAGAACGTTTTAGAGACATAACGCTCGCAGTAGAGTTGCAAAGCGCCTGATAAGAACTAATTTTTGTTATATACATAAATATTTATTGAAAAAAAAGATAAAAGAACATGGATTATTGGATCTGCCTAGGGCAGGAGTACTCGATAGCAACACTTTCATGCATTATCTACTCATTTCTAGACACGAAATTAAAATCAGATAGAGGCTTTAGCATAATTAGCATATTAACCCCGAATTTTCTGAAAGTCGTTTGTGTCATTTGTCAATTTTGCTTTGCTTGTGTGGCTGGTTTGAATTGCTTGATTAATAATTAATAATTTATAAATAATAATGAACTTCTTATCGCAGCTAAAGATAATTTAAGCGCGTTGAAACTTTCTTGTTTATTTAATTCTTAGTTTTTTCAGACTTTTTTCTAACATAACTAGATATTTGTGTGGCGATACGTATCGATAAATGCTTAGCAATTTACGTATTTCTACTAAATGTGCGCCTTTTATAAAAAAAAAAAAAAAATCGGTGCTTTAATGTTGTTCGCCATTGTGGCGTGTTGCGCCTGTGGCATGGTGCATGCGGTTATTGTCGTTTCACATATTTTTATTGATTTATTGGCGATTTCTTGGCATGCTGTTGTGGCTTATTATATACTCCTATGTATGTACTATATTTTTGATAAGTGTCATTTGCTGTTGGTGTGTTAGGTGTTCGTTAGTGGTAGTTGGTGTTGGCTTGTAGTTATGTTGAAACATTATAATGTTAGGCCTTTCAAAGTGCCTGCATTTTCATGTTTACTAAAAGACTGATTGATTGATTGATTGATTGATTGATTGACAGATTGTTAGATTGACTGATTGATTGTATGTGTGGTGCGTAATATGCGGTGCAGCAGTAAAACAAAAATTAGCAGCGGATGAGCGATGACAGGTGATTTTTATTGTTTCTCATTAATTATTAGTTGTTGATGTTTGTTTGACATGCTTATATGCTCATTGCTGTTTTTGCTCATATATTAATATATTTATAAATATCAGCTACAAATCGCTGAGCGCAGTCGCAGTCGCTGTCGCTGTTTTGTACGCAACTGCAATGCACTCATGACTACCTTATAGTATACGTAGGCATTGTCCATAAGTTAATGTACGGCGCTGTATGTATAAATGAAATGCCTTCCAGCAGATTTGTAACGCCTTTTCCGACGTTGGGCTGAGCTGAGCTGAGCTGAACTGAGCTTGTTTCTATGAGTCTAGTCCTCTAGACTCACTTAAGCTATTTTGCTCTGAAATACGTTTTTGTGTATATAAGCAGTATATTTCGGTGTGCAGAGTTGGCAGGTGAGCGTAAATACTAACTTATTTTTATGTTATTATTTTTTAGACTTTTAGCAAATGTTTGCTTTTCTTGGTGTTTCCTTTAGTATTTGTGATATTTTTTTAATATTTTTTCTATTTTTATTTTTATTTTTATTGCTATTTAAACATATATATACACGTATGTAAGCATGTGAGTATGTTTTTATCTCGTTGTTGGCACGAATGCAGTGGAGTGGCAGTAAATGTGTTGCGCTTGAATGCACAACAAGCCAATTTTGTTACTTTGCAACTCTTTTGGCTTTTGGGCGCATGTGAGCACAACTTCTTCTTCTTCTTTTTCCTTTTATTCTTGGCGCGCTTTTTTCACACGTAACCCTTCTGGACGCTTATATTGCTTAGATTCGCCTTTACTCTTCTCTGTAATAATTGATATGGCCGAATAAGCTTTTATAACTGAGTTTTCGGCTTAGCTGGCACTACACGACGTATGAGCAACTTGTACTTCTACTCGGCGGGCACTCTAACCTGCAACTCACTTTTGGTTGCGCTCGGTTTCGGCAACACAGTTTTATTGTGTGTATGTGTACATGTGTGAGTGTGCGCGCGTGACTTTTATTTGCTTATGCCCACTATATACTATTATTTTTTCTCTTTTATGCTATTCTCATTTCGTTGTTTGGTTCTTTAATACGCTTATTGTCTTTGGTTGCCGCGCATTTCTTTGCTTGGCTTGACTATTTATTGTTGGCACACTAATCGTGTGGCCAGCTGCTTTACCCTCTTTGGCGTCCTGAGATATTTGATATCTTGGCGCTTATATTTTTCCACACATACGCTCGAGCGCAGTTACGTATGCTATAATATTTGTATTTGTTATTTGTATGCTTCACTTAAATTTAATATTTTCGCTGGTACTTCCTGTCTACTGGCAACTTAATGCGCCAATGCTTTGAAATATCAGATTTTTCTATTTCTGTGCTAGATTCCCTTGTGGTCTCTGTCGCCTGCGGGACGTCCAGACGTCCTCGTCCGCTACTCGGTTGTGCCCCAAAGCGTCTACTGCACTGTTAAGCTTTATGATTATTCAGCCTTTGGTGTTGGTGTTATTGTTTTTGTAGTTGGTTTTAGCTGCTTTTGTTGGTGTTGTTGATTCATTTGGAATTCGTCCCGATTTCGTTGTCGCCGTTATTGCTTTTGTTGCAACAGCTAGTGCTATTATTATAGTGTTTTATTTTTCTTTCTTTTTTTTTTCTTTTGTTGATGTTGTTATTGTTGTTGCAGCTACTATTGCCTGCTACTTGCGTTGCTTTTGTATTTGGCTTTTCTGCCTCTTGACTCGCTTGTCTCGTCTCGTTTCGTTTCTTAGTTTTTTACTTGGTGCTTTTTTGCTTTTTTGTTGTCGTTATTATTTGTTTTAGAAATTATCGATTTTGCTGCTTGTCACAGTTGCAGCAGAAAATGGGAAATTATTTGTTTCATGCGACTTTTTCTTCGCTTGCAATTCAACACAGATCAATTTTTAACATATTTTTTTTAAATTTCTAATGCTCAATTTCTTTTTTTATCTTCTATTTTATTCATCAACACTTATTTGTCGTGCAAATTGCTTTTCGTTACGCTCACGTTTTGGCGTAAATAACTATTTCTTATTTAATTTGCAAATGTGTGAAAAGGCACAGTAATTGAATGGTAGATATCCTTTTCAAGGACTAGATTTTTTCCTACATACACACACACACGCGCGCACACTGAAACCCGACACGAATAACGCGCTTTACTCTGTCTGTTCGCGTATGCACATTACGGGCTAAAACGCTGAAGTATCGCTTAAATTTGATTTTACGATTTTTCTTTCTTTTATCTTTGGCCTACACGTGACGACGTGTTAAAAATCCGTAAAGTTTCCCACAGTTCTGAACACTTTGCATCCAGTTTTCACTTTCGATTTATGCCTTTTTGCGTACACTGCGTACCTCACTCGTTCAAGGCCTTTCAGCAGCATTTAACGATTTGCCTATAAATTTTTGCCTACTTATGCATACATTTTAATGCTTTTTTATTGTACGTCTCTTCCCCGACACTCCGTCCCTTCGTCGCCACGCGCGCGTTTGCTTGACGCCCCCTAGAACAGTATTCGCATTGCACACACGCGTTCGCACGTATTAAAAGTATGACTTTCTGGCCGCCTGCCTGTCTGATCCGCGCACTAAAACTCGAAATTTATTTTGGTTCACACTAAGAAATCACTTAAAAAAATTTTTTTGCTCGAGTGGTGGTATGTGTAGGTGAGGAGCGAGTCAACCGTATGGCGTTTCGTTGTTAGCGCTTTGGTATCCGTTTTGCGTCTTTTAGCCTCAACGTTGCGTATACAACTGTCCACACCAGCAAAGAACTAAGCTTTTCAGAGCATTTCTTATGCTAGCCGACCGAGCTGAGCGAATATCCCATTTGCCATTGTTTGCGCTGCACTGCGCCGAAAAGTGCATTCGCCAATAAGGTTGACATGAAGCGCATGCAAATGTACATACACGTATGTGTGCGAGAGTTAGTGTTGTATTAAGAAAGCTCGCTCACAACTCACACTCACGCTCTGTGAGCCTTGCCGAGCGCCGGCGCTTCCTTTGCTTTTACGTCAATCGTGGCTGCTCTCAAAATTCAACTTAACAGTGCTCCTCTACCTCTTGTAATTACACTAATTTTATTTGTGACATAGTAAAAGCGCGCACTCTCTTCTCAAAGAGCTTTTGCGCTTAAGCGTATTACATGCCAGCGACGATACTGCGAGGCAACGAACTGATACGAACATGGCTTGAAAGCTTATGCTGTGCTTATGCCAACAGCGCCAAGTGTAAGCTCATCTTTTTTTAGCTCGGATCTCGGCGTTATTGATTTGTCTGCTTTGTATACTTGACACCATGCGTTCACGCGTATGAAATGCTTTGTTGTACTGTTTGTGTGTATGTCACATGAATGTTGCAGTTTTGCTTCTATGCTTTTGTTTGTATTTTTTGGCTATTTTGGCATTTGATGTTTCTCCTTCCTTCTTTTTTGTCGCTGCTATCCTTGTACTCATTTGCTAAAAGCCAACAGTCAACATTAGTTTATGTTTCGGTGAAGCTTTGCGTTTGCTTTGGTAACAAATAAAACCGTTAATTTTGCTTTTACTACTTTTCACATATACTTACTGCAATACAAACATACAAAATCTTCTTCAGCAATTGTACATAAAAGGCAAAGTTACATGGTTGCTCGTGCAATGTACGACATTGCTGTTGGTGTTGACTATCTAACAGCCAAATAACAGAGTTTATACGAACTGTAAGTTAAAAATAATATTGACGTAACAGAGCTACCAAGTAACCCAAATGAACTCCTTTTGGTAAAGACGAAAATGAAATAAAATAAAACCAAATAAAATAAAACATAATAAAAATAATAAAAAAAATTTAAAAAAAAATATAAAAAAAAAAAATAAAACAAAATGAAATAAATAAATGAAAAGTTAAAATAAATTAAATAAAAAATAAAAATTATATTTAAACAAAATGAAATAAAATAAAATAAACAAAATGAAGAATAAAATTATGATAAAAAAATTCATATGAAATGAAATCAAAAAAGAAAAATATTAAAAATATGATATAAAATAAAGTAAAGTAAAATAAGAAATAAAATAAAATAAAATAAAAAATTAAAAAATTTAAATAAAGTTAAATCAAAAAAAAAAAAAAATAAAAAAAAATAACGTAAAAAAAAAATAAAAAAAAATTAAAAAAATAAAAAAAAATAAAGAAATTAATAGAAGAGTATCAATTTATTTGAAGCACAATATAATAATGAAAGATAAAATATTGTAAATCTAAGCCCACCGAACAGTCTCTCCCAGGTTTTTTGCCGTTTTTTACCCGCAATTCGTTTTTCTTTTATTATATATGTACATATATTGTATATAGCTGAGTGGTTAGCAGTGTGTTCATCCATTCGACTTCTGTTCCGACTCATATCCAAAAATTGTAAGTTCGGAAAAAGTAATAGAAACTAAATTTAAATAAAAAATTAAGCTAAATTTTCAGATTTCGGTCGCCCCTAGGCATGTGTACTTCTGATATGCAATAAAAAATCTTCAAAAACACCCGTCAACCATTCTGCGCCCTATTGTGCGAAAGATTGAAGCCAAAGATCAACAAACTTTGATGGACCTTATCAGTGTGACTTCAGATCAGGTAGAATCTTTTACAAGAGTGTAGAGTTTATGGTGTTGCTGATATTGATATTATTGGCCTCAATAATCGTGCCGTGAGTTCTGCTTTCTCCAGATTGGATAAGGAAGCGAAGCAAATGGGCCTGGTAGTGGTTGAGGGCAGATTGAAATATGTTCTCTCATCAAACAAACAGTCACTGTTGACAGTCATAACTTTGAAGTCGTAGATAACTCCGTCTAACTTGGAATCAGTATTAATAACAACTACAGTCTCGGCCTAGAAATCTAGCCTAGAATCACTCTTGCAAGCATATGCTACTTTAGACTGAGTAGGCAATAGAAAACTAAAGTACTCTCTGACGAAGGTAGACCAAATCTGCAAGTTATTCCCGTCCAGCGAAGGCATGGACAATGAAAACCTCTGATGAGTCGTCTTTAGAATTTTTCGAGAGAAAGGTTTTGCTCAAGATTTATGGTCCTCTACAAGTTGAGAACGCCGAATACCCCACCCAAGCAAAGGAAGAACTGTGTGAAATGTACGGCGAAATTGACGTAAAAAATAATAATAATAACCAAAAGCTATCATATATCGTCAAATGTTCCAAAATTCAAGTTTACAAAGTCAAAAAGGCGTTGTTTTAAAAAGTTCGGTCTGCTCCACCTACCAAAAACATGGGAAAAATATTTTGAAATCGTTATCGAGCAATGACAAACATTTCCATACAACTACAAAAATATGGTTTGGCCACAAAAAAAGGAAGTTAAAAAAAACTTTAATTAATATTTATCATCAGTATTTTTTTATTGAGCTTATTTATGGGTTTCAATAAAAACTTTGTTCATTATAGTGACACAAAAACTTTTTATTTGCGATGCGTCAAAACTTAAATCTGTTTGATATTCGAATATATTATATATTGGTATCATAGGGTGGGTATTAAAAAACCTTAGCTCAATTTGAATTTACTCACACACGTAGCTCTGTGAGACGCTTGCTAAATTTCTATAAGAGATTTGTTTCATTTAGATGACACTGACAGGGAAGCGTATCTCAGCTTTTGCTGAATTGAGATTTTTAGTTCGTTTCTTTTTTCAAAATATTAACTACCACACAAAGTTCGATTTTGCTTGTTGTTTGTTGGGAATTTGAATAAAGAAACTCCAGTTACAAAGCCACAAAAAATCTGCATTTTCCGTGAATTTTCAAAACCTTGGTGATCGTACCTAGCATACAAATACCATTTATTGCCTTTAGTTCCAAAACTGTTTACACTCAAATCCATTTAACTTTGCATTACCTGGAGTGGAGAATCTTTCCGTGGTTTGCAGCCACTTATCCTCTGAAATTAACAACAACACACTTCTAGAACGTAATGGAACCCAGAAGCACTAACAAAAATTTTGTGTGTTATCCTTGAATTCACTAACAAGGACGAAGCGACGAGCGATTGCCGCACCAAAAATTGTTGCTGGCCATCAAGTGCACGAAAGACGTTACACTAATTTTGCATTACTTTTCACAAGCGTTTAAAAATCATACCTTTTGCTGCATGCGAATGTGTGAATGTGTTTCCCCTAATTGTTTGTTTGAGTGCGTGTGTGTGTGTGTGTGCGCGTATGTGGCTGTAGCACTTATGTAAATGCTGTGAACAAGAACAATGTACTTTGATGTAATTGCTTTTGGATATATTCGTCCATTATACGTAATCGTTAGCTGCTATATCTGTGGGCGTACATACAAGTATGTGGCTGTCTTTGTGAGTATGTGTGTTTGTGCGAATGAGGGCGTCACTTGACAACTACAAACAGCGCTGTGTTGGCGCTTTTGCACGGTGCATTGTTGACTCTGCGGCACGTGTGGGAGATGCAACAACACAGGTATCGATAAATCAATAGTTTGACATTTAAATTTAAATTGCTTGCAAGCGAAGTACCAAAGCGACTGTCTGGCGGAATGACGAAAGCACTGCACACTCAACGTTCCACTCGCAATCAAGCCGGTGGGCATGCATACATATGCATGCGTGTATGTACCTGTGTGAACTTTATATGCATGCACTTTATGCAAATATATCTACAGAAGTTTCGCAACTGATTTCATTTCTATCCCTTTTATGTCTGCTGTGTTGTTTCTCTCCCTCCTCTTCCTTTTTCACTATAATATTATTGTGTGTGTGTGTGTGTGTGTGTGAGTGCATTTTACCGTTCATTTGTTGTATGCTTCATTATATTTATTTGCATGTTTATAAACTGTTACTTTTTCACTGTTGCCGCTAGCTGCTTTATGTTGCATGTAAGTAGTGTCTAATGTGGCACATTGTTTGCCATTACTGTGTCTGCCATCCACTGCACTACCCCACCACAGTCACTGCAATTATTAGTGTGGGACGCAATCACTTTTTCTAGAAGTTTTTTCGCTGTTTATATTTTCCACACACCTGGATTTATTCCCTTTGCTGCATGCCACATGCGACATTTACCGCCAAATAACGTTTTTTTTTTTAATGTAAATCACAAAATACCAATTGTATAAATGTGCGAAGAAATGTCGTTTTCTTTTACTTTGCACGCTTTCATGCATGTTGTTGTGACGTAAGCCATTTGGGTTGTGGCATATGGCATGTGGCATGCTGAACGTCAATCACTCCAATTTGTTTGCAACACTTAAATTTTACTTCAATTTCATGCACTTCAAGCGACAACTGCACAACGGGCGATGGGCACACCCACACTTGCATATGTCAGCTTCACATGCGCATAGAAAAACAGCAACAAAAGCGATAGCGACAGTCTTGTGGCAAGTAATTACGTACATCGCAACTCTCTTTACTAAATAAGAATTGCGTTGAGAAAACAGAATTATTGAAGTAAATTAAAAAAATTGCAACTTCACAGTCATAGAGTGAAAGAAGCAGAAGCGAATTGATCTGTGGTGCCGTCAACATGCCATACCTGGCGTATGAGCAACTTTTTAACAGTCTAGCAGTTTTGGTGCGTGTAAAGAGATGGTATAAATGGACGTGCAGAAATTTTTTTATGGAATTAAAGGCGGATATACATATATGAATATGCATGTGTTATGCTTTCAATGATAACACTGGACAAAAAAACATCTACATACCAAATAAGCTTAATAACGAAGCTCGATAATTTATTTTTTTTAAAGATTTCTGAAATTAAAT